GATACACAGTTCCGCGAGCTGGAGACAAAAAGGTTTTTTTTTCCCGTAGATTGTTGCCATTGCTCGCTTTCAAATCGTTGAGTTTGTTCCTCAGAAATTCGTTAAATTTACAAAATATGAAATCGATCATAAAACAAATTCCAAATTTCAAATTTGGGCTTCCCCATGCCTATATTCGCAGTAGGATTACGTCATTCAAAATTCAATGGCTCTAATGTACCGTTGTTTTATCACAATGCGAGAAATAAACATACGTTTATGCAGATTTTTCCTTATTTAATTTCTTCAAATATAATGCAGAACTCTAACATTTGGTGGCAACAGTTTGAAAAGTGAAATGGACATTTATAGTGATTCAACGCAAAATCGCAAAACGAAAACAATAAGTCTTTCAGAGACAATGCCCATTTGGACTAAAAAAATCCGCAAAATATGGCTTAAAACTATCCAAAAAATATCGTTGAGTTTTGTTATTAAATATTTTATTCATAATAACTGAAGAAAAAGAAATATCTTAACAAGATTGCCTGTAAATTTAATTTACACTTTTTTACGTAATGTAATTAATGCAGACGGTTTTATTTTCTGAAAAAAATATTGCATGCTTTCATAGAACGGTTTTTAAATATATATAAAAGCATGGGTTTTTTAAACTTTCCCGACTGGCAGCCCCGTTTTGTCTGCGAATGACATTCCCCGTTTCATAGCATGTGAGAAAATATAAATAATAATGCGATAAAAGTATATCTCATGATCGATTCAAAAGCCTGCCGTGATCGATACACTAAGCGGACTTACATTACAAAATGTTTTATATAATGTACAGAGATATTCATAAGTCCATGAAGCATTTAAACAATTCAGAATAAGTATCATTCATGATAATTCATACTTATTCGATATCAAAGAAGCCGGCAGGCGGCTGAGCGATAGTCACTGAACACTGGTAGTTCGAGCTGGAGCTCGAAATCGGCAAGCGTGCTGGTTGCATAGGCGTTTTCGTGATATTTCACCATGCGTAACGCATATACGACTCAGTTTCCTTTAGAAAGTCCTCCTCGAAGGGTTCCCTCATTAAGCAGATAGCCCTCGAGTTTTTTGCCATAATCAAGTAAACCAAACCAATCGATATCAAATTTTATTGCACGGAAATAGAAATAAACCATGAAGTTTTTCCTAGGAATTTACAAATGTTCAGTGGGTTCACTTTTTCTTGCACTCCATGCAACTATACGTTATAGGGAGGATCTGCTTGGGCATATTAAAAGCTGGCTGATTCCACATTGAATGCAAACACAGATGATTACCCCTTCCACCAATATTAGTCTGTCTCACTACCATAAATACTATTATCAAGACCATTTCCAAGAGCATCTCACTTAAAATTTGCACAATAATGGACACCATTGCGAGAATATGTCAATATGAATTTGCAAATACGACAGATAGGATTTATAGGGCTAAGACTATCTCATTAATGCCGTAGCCGAGCATGTCTTTAATTCATCTGAGTCATGTAATGAGTTATTTTGTGTGGAGGGAAGGGGTAATAAGCCTGCAATAACTACTTATCTTTAAAATTTAGTATCATCGATACTGTGACTCTGGTCGATCTGGATATGCAGGCAAGCAAGAGGGACAAAACAATTCATCCCATGGATATTTACAGTTTTAGCGAAGATTGACATATCAAGCATTTGTAAAATATATACTTAACTGTTTCAGTATAATCAAATTTGATAACCTTTTCATAATTTACTATGAATTAAAAAAAATATTTCACGGAATTCTTTTTCTTTTTTTGCTCAATTATGGAATATATAAACTTCACATTTTATTATGAACAGTAAACTAAATTATAATATTTTTAAATACTGATTTTTTTTTAATTTGTTCCTCGTGAAATTCTTTTGTAGTGAAGAGAAGTTCAATTTCACTTCCTGCTCATATTTTGAAAAATAAAAGATATATTATTTGTATAAGTAAGGTATAAAAAATATATTATTCCAGAAATATATTGTCATGAATCATATATATGTGGATAGTTTTGGTGAAATAATGGGTGAAATTTTAGCATCTCTTGTACAATGCAATATGAAAAGTCTGAAGAGAGCCGGAAAAATAAGACTACAAGGGAAGTACAATGAGATAAATGGTTATCTCGTTAAATTGGCGAAATATCACCAAGATGGCAATGATTTTGGCGACTAATTTTTGTCGCTAAACTTTAATTTGAAACAGTCCAGGTATATCCCCTGGAAAATATTTGATGGTCTTCGAAGAATATTCCTTGAACGTCCTTAACATATTTAAGGTTGAAAGGTTAGCATATTTAAGGTTTTTGTTCAGCCACTGAAGGAAATATACCTGAAACTTTCGGTATATTTCATGAGAATATTCTTCAACATTGTATAATTTTTCATGCGCATTCAGGTAATTTCTAGCAACACTAAACATAAAGAAGAAAACAGTTTTTCCAACTAAAAATCAAACGGACAGACACCCGGGCCCTTTGGTACCGCAGTAGGCTCTCCTAACCACTAGACCGTCTGGACGGCTCCAGTTTTAATTAAGAACTAAGAACTGATTCGTGCCCAATTTCATTTCATAAATTTTCTTTCGAGAAGGCGAAACTAGAACAAATTAATTATTATTTCGATACGGTTAATGTCTCATCTAAACCTGGGACATATGGCAACCCTACACATTGTCACATCATAAAAGAATATTCAGGTATATAAAAAATGGGTTTCACATCTGTAATGACAACTGTCTAATATTGCTATAGTCTATGACCTTGTTAAAACGAGCATAACACGCCTACCTACCTTGACTTTCTTTTTTGAGGCAATGCAAAATTAATTGTTTCTTGGAATTTCATGTAATCACTTAGATTTTACCAGGCGTGTGGTAAAATGTTACGCAATTCCGATAAAGAAGTATTGCACGCTACCTGCTTTGATACCTCGTTAATACTGACACTTTCGTGCACGTTGATTGATACAAAATGGGAAGTAGTACTTAGTAAGAAAGGAGGCTGGAATAATCTATTGTACGTCATCGTTTTCCCTGACAACTTTGCGCAAGTTATAGCACGATATGTCATTCATAACTAATCTGATCAGTTTTCCATTATTTCCTATTGATTGAAAATAGCACTGGAATTTTTCGAAAAGACAAAAATATTTTCCTTTAGATCAAACAATAATATGTTTGTATATAGTTCCTTAAATCATTAAAGTATTCTATGTTTTAATAGACGTACTGTGGAATAACGTTCTTTCAGCTGAATAATTTAGCATAAATTAACGTTATCTTTTAAAAGGATAAAACTTGGATATAGTTCTATCATTATTATTTACGGTATAAAAAATTAGATTTCTTATTACAACAGTATATCCTAAAATTTTTGGGAGTTAATTCCAAGACAGAGGTTGTACTTATTATTGCTGTACTTCATGTATTAATTGCTAGCTGTTTTTTAACACGCTATAAGCTTAACATTTTTTTAATTAGTTACATTAGGGATAATGTTTTAAATCTGACAATCCTAAATGAACTTATGTGACACCTAGCAAGATATTCTTAAGCCAGACAGTCCTAAGTAGTTATCTGATAATTCTCCATCTTCATGCAATACGCAAAGCAATTGAGCAGATTTCTCGGGCATGCTGGGCATGTAGTATATATTATAATCAAAGTTATAATTCAAATGGCTAAGATTCAATGTATTTTATTTTGTGTATGTTTCTCAATGAATCAAATTCACATGCATAAACATTTAAACTATCATGTTTTGAATTAAAAGAATACGAACGTCTGCAGTGAAACAGCAGTGGGCAATATGTAAGATTAAAACAATATGTAAACTTGAGTTCTAACAAGTTGTAGAGACATTAGGTTATTTCGAAAGCAGAAGAGGTGAAAAATGAGCAATGCCCTCGAATCACGGACCCATGGCTCGAAACACGGACCTCTCGAATACGCGTCGAGCGTGCTGACCACTACACCACGAAGACATGCTAAGAAGGCGGGATAAATACCTTATATACTCCCCCTTTTAAAGAGCGACTGGGGATTAGAGGACCCAATCGCCAAATCCTCGTGGTGAAGAATCATTATCCACCACCTTTTAGTTCGGGCACAACTGTAGAAACATTAGATTATTTTGAAGCAGGAAAGAAGAAAAATGAGCAGTGCCCTCGCAGGAACTCGAACCACGACTCTCGAATTCGCGTCGAGCGTGCTGACCACTACACCACGAACGCATGCTAAGAAGGCGGGAAAAATACCTTATAATGAAAGATAATTAACCAGAATTATAACTTTAACTCTTAGTTGTTCCTTAATTTGAATATTTCGCTTTTCGGTCCTAAATATATTAACTGTGTGTAATAAAGCGCTTTAAATTGGTCATTTCGAAATTATTCCTTCTTGTATGATCCTTGCATAACGCTAATGATGTAGACACTTATCTTCTTATAAAAAGCTTCAGCCAATAATAATTTCAGATTTGAGAACCGAAACTTAAAACTAATCAATTAAAACAAAGCGAAACTAAATCATTCTGAATGAGGATTTCATTTTTGGGTATATCATTTTTCTCTTTCTCTAACTTTTATCCTGCCAACCTGCTTTCTCTTTGTTACTATACTTCTTTATTCCATTGAAATGAATTATAATGAGATATAAAACAGCATAAATGTGATGAAAAACAGGCGCACAGATCACGCTTATAGAACTGTGTAACTTAGCTTAAAAATGTGCTTCTTAAGAATAAAAAATATTAAATCGGCACCATTGCTAACATCTTTAATGTACTAAGCTAGGTCATTCCATAAATTATGTGCTGTGCTGCATCAACAGCTTTCCAATTTTCTTGCAGTACAATCACAGTACATCACTAAACAAAATTACATTAGTTACATGATAAATGAATGAAATAAATAGGTTTTCTTAAAAGCAACATTTATTTATAAAATTTTAATATTTCATCTTACCGTTTAGTTAGTTACCCGTCGTAGACCTCAAATGAAATTCTTTCGGTTTCGTTACAGCTGCCATTTATATTTATAAAGAAACTTGGAAAGATTATTCAGCATTCTTTAGCAGGAACTGCAATAAAATTTTACAAATCATTTTATTTCTTAAATACATTTTTAACAAAACTTTTAATACAATTTATTATTTTATTTTCTTTTTAAGAATGCATATACTCGCAAAGTTAAACTGTTATAAAAAATAAAATTTATTTTATCTACGAATAATTTCATGTATACGTAAACGTTACGGGCAAAACTCGAAAAATTTATGTATTTTCTAATATTTCCTACATCTGATCAAAAATCCGTAAGAATATCTTATCGAATGTATAAAAAAATCGTATCTCGTAGTATAAATATGCAAATTTCATGCAGTGAATCTAAAGGATGGCAAATGATTGAATTATATTAATGAATTTTGAGAGAATGCGCTCTTTATTTAAACGGCAGAATGCTATTTGCAAATGAAATAAAATTTTTAGAAATTCTTTTTTATAATGGAATGGCTTTTGATTATTGTTTTAAGGTATTTCTCCCGCCTTCTTAGGATGCCATCGTAGTGTAGTGGTCAGCACGCTAGACGCGTATTCGAAAGGGCAGTGTTTTGATTCCCGGCGAGGGCGTTGCTCATTTTTCAAGTTTTCTGCTTCCGAAAAATATCTACATAATAATATCTCTACAGTAATAATATCTCTACAGATAATATCTCTGCAGTGGCGCCCGGACGAAAAGGGTGGTGGATGATGATTCTCCCCACCCAGGATTTGGCGAATGTGTCCCCTAAAACTCCAGTCGACCTTTAAAAGGGGAATATATAAGTTATTTCTCCCTCCTTCTTAGCATGACTTCGTAGTGTAGTGGTCAGTACGCTAGACGCGTATTCCAAAGGTCTGTGGTTTGATTCCCGGCGAGGGCGTTGCTCATTTTTCAAGTTTTCTGCTTCCGAAAAATACCTAATATCTCTACAGTGGCGCCCGAACGAAAAGGGTGGTGGATGATGATTCTCCCCACCCAGGATTTGGCGAATGGGTCCCCTAAAACTCCAGTCGACCTTTAAAAGGGAAATATATAAGTTATTTCTCCCTCCTTCTTAGCATGACTTCGTAGTGTAGTGGTCAGCACGCTGGGCGCGTATTCCAGAGGCCCGTGGTTCGATTCCCGGCGAGGGCGTTGGTCACTTTTCATCTTTCCTAATTTCAAAAAAATACCTAATGTCTCTACATTGTATTTGTAAATGTATTTGTATTTTTAAATTAATGTGAGAAGCAAATTTTACGCAGGAATTCTGAAAAAACGTGAACAGCACATATGATGTACATTAATGTACCCAACTGATATTGTTCAGTATACTGTATCAAAACCTCTTCTTATATTCAAGTCACCACTGACTTTTAGAGTAAATATTCTCTGTAAACTCAGGATCACAATGCATAAAACATTGCTAAAATCTTCATTCTGCACAGTCAAATTCTTAACAGGGTCTCTTAAATACCCACAGGTCTTCCGAAGTAACTTTATAAATTCCGCTACAAATTTTAATAGTTTATAAAGTTTTTTTGGCTAGCTACAATAGAATGCTCCACCAATTGAGTACAAATGCTGATAGTCAAAGTATTTGTAAATTACTATAAACTCATGCTTGTTTCCGATGGTACTATGATGTGCGTAAGGGTTCGTAACAGACTGGCCCACCAGCAGCCGAGCGGTGAAGTCGCTGAACACTGGTAATTCAATCCGAGGTTCCAATCCGGCGAGCGGGCTGGCTGCATGGGCGTTTTCGTGGCTTTCCCCATGTGTAACTTGTATACGAGCCAGTTTTTCTTAGAAAGTCCTCCACAAAGGCATCCCTCCTTTTAGGCAGATAGCCCTCGAGGCTTTGCCATTATCACATAAACCAAACCAAACATAATAAATTGAATGCACAGAGAACCGATGATAGCTTGACGAAATTTATTTTCCTAAAAGAAACACTTTACAGCTGTGGAACTTTTCACAGAAGTACTCGCATAGCTCTATTCAGTATCACAAAGTACAATCAGTAGTCATCACTCCAAACTACTAAAAAGGTTAAACACAAGATAATATTAAAAGCCCCAAATGCGTAAAGCTCGCATAGTGATGTTTCAGTACTCTCAGCTGAACTCTGAACCCTAAATTAAAGTAAGAAACTGAACTCTAAATTAAGCTCTTCCAGGTCTTAAAAGTTTTCCCCCAGCCGCCGAGAAATTTCTAGTAGCTTTCACTTCTCGAAATTGCTGAGAGGTATACACACTTAAGTTACAGTTAAATTGGAATCGAACCAGTTAGATATAGGGATCGGATCTTTAAATGGATTTGCCTCTGTAAAATGCTTTTCTGGCAATGCTTTCGCATTTTTGAGGCCTTTCATGCAACGTTATATAAGATATACCACAACTTACGTATGATTTCATTAAAATTACTTACATGTATATGAAAAATTCGTAACAGTACTAAAAATGGCAGCTTTCATTTTTATCAAGCTTATTGTTACGTAATTTTTCCCTGACTTGTAAGCACAAGACAGTTAGTTATTCGAAGTAACAAATTGCAAATAATTTCGGTTATTATTCTCACATTTCTTATAACGAATTGATGTGTGTAACTTTGTTTTTATTTCTTGCTGATTGACCAAAATTATAGTAAAAAATTATTAGCAGCAAATATACTCGTAAATTATTTATCATTTCCTTCCAATGACTTAATTGAATAAAATCATTCGTAATCTAGATTACTCTTCTCTCCCGGCAGGACAGCCGGTCCACTTAAGAAAGATGCTTATCGGCTTGCTTAATCCTGAAGACGATTACAACTGTTATTTATCACCTTAGATCATGTGCCCCGGGAGATGTAGTAAATATGGATGCTCCATATATTCTTTAAATCATTTATATAAATCTTTCATCAAATTCGCCAAGTTCTGTTAGAATCTCATTTTAATAGTTTTTTTTCAATTTATGTATACAAAAAAGTAAGATAATTGTTTGAAACTTTTCATTGAAAACAATGGTACTTGCGCTTTATAAACGATAATTTTAGTGCTGGAAAATAACAGTTATAGTAAAAATTTAGTATTAAAATTTCTGGATAATTTGGATGTCTGCTTAGTAATTAAACCACCATAATATTCTTATTTTTAGATAACTGTGGAGAATTCGTTACTGAAGAATATAAAACCTGAAGACATTCTGGAAGAAAATAGATTTTGACGTAGTGAATCTCACTGCTACGGACTGGAACAAGAGTATACATTTTGTGAGCCGAATAATATGAATTTTCAGTTCTAATACACCTTCATTTTAAAGTTTCGAAGCCCATTCATCTAATGCCTTGGACTATAATTACAGTATCATTCCTTATGTTTCTGAAGACTAAATAAATATACAGACTGTTCACAAATTTTTACGCGATTTTGCTTTGCTATAAGAAAATCGCCTGCTTGTAAATTATTGTTTTAACTGCAACTATATTTTTGAAAATACAAATTATCGTTTCCTACTTAACAGTTTTGTTTTCATGCAAAATGGCGCTTTTAAATAAGCAATGGCTGGAAGGCTATGTTTGTGCTTTTTTTGAAGAAAATCTTTCGTATCTAGTCAACGAAAAACGCTGTAAAAGCCATGCCTTTTCTGTATGTACAGCTATATGACAGGTAATATCATCAGAGAGAAGGAAACAAACGTCAGTTCGACTTCAAGTGAGAAAACTGTTCTAAATACATATCCAACATTGTAGCAGAGGTAAAAGCTTTAATTTTAAACGAAATTCCGCCAAATCAAAGAACAATTGCAAAATCATTAAAATGCTCAATTTCAACTGTAAACGAAGTTATTAGTACTTATTTGAATCTTACAAAAGCGATAAAACATAATGTCCATCGTCTTTCTCCACGACATATCGCCGAAGGCAGAACGCGCTGCAGAATTCCTTATGTGAAACACTTATCTGGATAGAAATGGAAAGCTGTTGCAAATGAATAAATCTTGGATGTATTTAAATAACTGCAATGAAAAAGATGCATTTATCATCACCAAAAAGTAGAAAAAAATCTTAAAATATGGTTCAAAGAATGTAAAAAGAAATTTGCTGCTTTTCATTTAAACTTATTTTCTTGAATTTCATTAGAGATATATTTTTCATTCAATTGATTCAGTTCTCATTTCGCGACCAGGCAAAAATACGTAAAGCCTCAAAATATCTTTACTAAAAATTGAAAAATAAAGAAAAATATAAAACACCAAACACAGCTAAAACAATTTAAAAACAATTTTTACAATCAAAGTTAGAGTTTCTACGCAAAAACAAGCAATTCGGCCAGCGGGCAAGATTTTTCGGAGCGCGAATCTGAAAGTTTACTTTTGGTCTCACTCGGCCAAATGTGCAGAAACTGAATTCACTGTCCTGCTAAGTGTCAAATGTAAACAAATATGGCTGCTGCTTTAAAAAATTAGTCTTAGCCGCACATAAACAACTTTTAAATTGTTAATAGTTTTACAACTATTACATGCAGATTAACTAAAGGCGTGAAAACCTTAATCAGAAGATAAGAAGAGCATAATTCAATCATTTTTAAAGCAAAAAATGCACAGTTTAACAACATATAAGAATAAGAAACTGAGCTACAGAGTTACAGAGTCGAAGCCGAGTTACAGAGTGCGTATGTATATATATGTATACACTTTTGGTGCTGTCGATTGCAACCAAACAGGGAGGTGCACAACTGCATGTTATAGCAGTCCTACATACAAAATTTCAAATTTTTTGAGTTATGCAAGATACATACGTACGTACTCACAGACATCACGAAAAAAGTCTCCTCTTTATCCTTTTTGCAATCCGTTTTTGGAAAAATCGTCCTTTATTCTGTCCTTACGTACACATGTGACACAAAAACATCGTTAAATTGCATTTAATAGCGGTCAAAATGGATATTTTGGTTGAAATATGATACCCGAAAGTTGTCGCGATTGCAATACTTCCTAAATATAAAGGCATTATTATCTTAGGACGTACAGTTAGGAAAAATAGTGAAGAATAAAGGTTATCAAACAGGAG